CACAAACACACCCTAAACACACACACAAAGATTCCACTCACAAAGTCACACATACCCCAGGTGCAAACATACACAAAACCACACACACATACACACATACATATACACAAACATATGCATGCAAACATACACACACAAATAATCCTCCTCCATACACACACAAGCCCATACAATGCAGACACGCACAATGCACCTCTTTCACACCACCCCTCCACACACACACACACAAACAAACACAGTAGTTTAGGTGATCTGTAAAGCAAAAAGCCTCACAGTTTTTATAACTCTGTATGTTGTACATAGGTCAGTGAGTCTGCAGGGTTATTAATTCTGCACCAGACTACATTCTCTTTTGAAAAAAATTTTTTAGAATAAAATCCTAATTTAATACCACTGATGGTTTCCGAATTGTGGATCAGCTCAGTCTTGGGGGCGGGGCAACACGTTTGCTTTAAAAATAAATATTTTGCTCTCTGGCGAGGAGCCAGAAAACAGGAACCCATTTACACATGACAGCTTAGTTGTTAATTAATACATCACAATATGCCATTTGTCACCCCTTCAATTCTTCACTGGAGAGCACAGAGGCATTGGTCCTTGAGCCTATATAAGTGAGAAGATGCTGTTCTCCATGAGGATGAGATGTGTCCAAGCTAAAGTTTCAGTTTACACCATTTCTTACTTGCTCCCTCCCGCCCTCCCCTCTTTTTGTTCCCTTCCTTTCCCACAAAATATACAGTCAATTCACTTTACAGTATATTCGTGGAGTCCTGTAACTCAGTGGCTAGAGCACTCGCCTCGCATGCGAGAGACCTGGGTTTGATTCCCGGCAGGCAAAACGTTGGGCAAGTTTCCTCACTCCGCACCCCTCTGTTTACCTAGCAGTAAGTAGGAACCCGGCTGTTAGTTTTTCAAAAAAAAATTGGTCACTAAATTCATGACTGTTTGGGACACTGCTGTGTGCAACTGGCTGCCTCGTTTTGCTCACAAAATATACAATCAATTCACTTTACAGTATATTCCGTGAAGCGCTTTGAGACGTCTCGAAGACATGAAAAGCGCTATATCAAATGCAAGGATTATTATTATTATTTTCAAGGCACTTCTCGATACACACCTCTTTGACTGTACTTTTGGTCATCTTTCCCCCTCCTGACACACCCCCAGCTCCCATGCTCAGCTCCTTTTTTGGGGGTTACCCAGGTGTCTGACACATCACCTTACCTAAGAGTATCCAAACCAAACTGAGAATTCATCCCACCAATACATAGAGATCCCAGGGATAGATTGTCAAAATGGAATGTGGACTCTCTCCCTCAGTTCAGCTCTCTACTACCCAACCAGAATGGCAGGTGACCGTAAGCATGAGCGGAAATTAAGGTTTTCAGGCAGGAATTAAAAAATAGCAGGGTGGAGACAAGGCGGAGGGATTGAGGGAGAATGCTCCACAGTTTCAGGGCAACCTCTAATGGTGGAGTAGAGGGTTCGAGGGACAACTAGGAGGCCGGTGCCAGTCGAATGTAGGTGCGGGGTAGTGGATTGGGAAATGAGAAGTGAGGAGGTTGGTGAATGGATTTGAACCCGAGTGTGAGGACCTCGAAGTCGATTCATTCAGTGATGGGGAGCCAGTGGAGGCTGGCCAGAACTGTTGAGATGGGGGTACAGAGTTTGGTCCGGGTGCTTTGGGAGGTTGTTGTAGGGATTATGGCCAGGACACTGAATCAATGCACAGTTCTTTGTTGAGTTAAGATATTATTCCAAGAAATGTACTGCATTGGCAATCTCCACAGTCAGTAACAACAACAACAAGATTTCATTTATAGAGCGCCTTTCACGTCGGGAGGACATCCCAAGGCGCTGGACAGTTGGGTCAGGACCCGAGCAGGGGGAAATGGTCAGGTTGAGGGGAGGAAAGGGAGGGAGCGAGGAAGGGGTAGAGAGTCGAGAGGGGAGCTGAAGGCACGGTCAAAGAGAAAGGTCTTGAGACTGGCCTTGAAGGAGGAAAGGGAGGAAGCAAGGCGAAGGCACTGGGGAATGGAGTTCCAGAGAGACTGAGAGGCTGAAGGCCCGGCCACTGATGGTAGGGCGGTTGGGGCGGGGATGTGGAGCAGACCGGAGCCAAAGGAACTGTGGGTACGGGTAGGTACGTAGGGGGATAGAAGGTCGGAGAGGTAGGAGGGAGCAAGGCCGTGAATGACCTTGTAGGTGAGGATGAGGATCTTGAATTCGATCCTCTGGGGGATGGGGAGCCAGTGGAGGTGAGCGAGGGTGGGAGTGATGTGGTCCCGAAGCCTGGTGCGGGACAGTACACGAGCTGCAGAGTTCTGAATGACCTGCAGCTTGTGGAGGGAGGTGCCAGGAAGGCCGGCGAGGAGAGAGTTCCCATAGTCCAGCCTTGAGGTGATAAAGGCGTGGACCAGAGTTTCAGCAGCGTGAGGGGTGAGGTAGTGCCATAGTCTGGCGATGTTTCGGAGGTGATGGAAGGCGGTGCCAGTTGTGGCGCGGATATGGGGAAGAAAGGACAGCTCAGGGTCGAACAGAACGCTGAGGTTCCTGACTGACTTTGAGAGGTGGAGAGTGCAGCCTTGGATGCTGATGCTGTCAGCGCCTGAGGTGCGGAGGCGCTGACGCGAGCCAATCAGGAGGGCCTCAGTTTTGCGCACGTTGAGCTGAAGAAAGTTATAACTCCACAGCTGGGCATGAACTGGCTTCATATCCAACCATTATGTTTCAGTTGTGTGGATGAGAGTGGGGGTGAATGAAGCCACACCAAGGGTCAGTCTTGCTGTCACCTGGGTTCATTCACATCTTCTATTGATGATGTGATGATTATCACTGTATTAATCCCTGTTTGCTGTGCATGTGTGGGTGCCTGATATTATTTTACATTCTAGAATGAAAGTTTCCACTAAAGCAACAAGGACAACTTGTATTTATAGAGCGCCTTTCCCTTGGGATAACAACTCGCCCAGCTTCACAGGGGCGCTATTAGATGCCGAGCAAAGGAGAAAGAAGGGAACATGAGGGATAAAGCAAGTGATTGGTAACTGAGAATACTGTTCTTTTTACAGGCTGTATGTTTATCCCGTTGTGGTTTTGAGATCTGCACATGATCCAGCACTAGTTTAGCGTGTTCATGGTAGATTCTATTCGTTTAGTGGCTTATACTTGTCGAAATGATGGTTTTGTCCAGTGGTCTAATAGGGAAGGCAAGCTCATCTGTACCTTTGAGATTTATTAGGGGATGTCTCTGAGTCTCTGATGGTCGATTATATATCTGAGTTCTCTGGCAGCCTAGGGAGCCTCTTAGCTATTAATACACTGGTCGTTAATTGCATTAATCTGAATTCAACCCTCTGGGGTGATTCAGTGATTGTTGGTAAATTTACCAATTTCAGTTGGTAAGCTTATAATAGGATTTTCTTGTTTGTGTCAGCCTGGCTCAGTTGGTGGCACTCTTATCTCTGAGTCAGAAGGTTGTGGGTTCAAGCCCCACGTCAGCATTTTGAGGTCTCGCTGATACTCCAGTGCAGTGGGGGTGTTCTGCATTGTTTGGATGAGACTTTTATCCAGGTACTCTCAAGTGGATATTAAACATCCTGTATCACTATTTAAAATGTGAAAGGAGTTTTACTGGGTGCCCTGGCCACCATTCACCCAAATAAAATTAATCATTCACTTCATGGCTGTTTGTGTTACATTGCTGTGAGTATTGGCTGTTGCATTCTCCTACAAAATACAATCATTAAGCTACACTCAGAAAAGCCTGTGAAGCGCTTCGAGATGGCCTCTCGACATGAAAAAAAAGATAATTATTATTATTATGAATAAAAGTGACTACTGGTCTTTCAGATCTCCAATCCTTGTCACCTACACAGTATGAGGAACTTAGTTTGTCCGGTTCTTGAGAAACACAATTTTTATTTTTTTAAAAAAAAGGAACAGCATAATCCAGGGTGTCAAGATTCAGGCCACAATTGACCACTCATACATGCCATTGAGTTGGTACCATTAGAAGATCAAGAACTTCACTGCAGAGAGAGAGAGAGAGTGAGAGAGAGAAACAGAAAAAATAGAGGGGCATTTCCCCTCAGGCCCCGCTCATCTAACTAAAAACATTTTGATGTTAAAATGGGGCTGAGACAAAACAGATGCCCTCAGTATGGTAGAGCAGTGTGTGTTGCCTATTAGTATCATAGTGAAGGAAGCCATACTGTGAGCTCATCATGCACTCGCTGAATTAAATCTCGGTCTTGGGCAGGAATAGCTGTCATCAGCCTATAAGGAACTGTCCATCCTTGAGAATCTAGGTCACTGCAGAGAAAGTGGCCCACACTTCAAAAGAAAATAATTGTAATCATTACAGGACAAATAATCTTGGGTGCTGGAACAATTACACTCCTGCGAAGGGCACAGATATTTGGGTGGGTGGGGGGTGGGGTGGAAATGCTCAGTGTCTATCTGTAGATACAAAACTATGAATATTAGAGCTCAGTAGAACACAAGCCCCAGCCCCCTGCTCTTGCCATTTACATCACCTTCTAACTAGTGCCAGGGATTTTCTTCCAGAGCCTTATTGAAGACTTAAAACATCCCTACAAAGCCAGACCTCTTAAGTAACCCAAACCCAAATGTACTGCAAACCAATTATTTTGTTTGAAATAAATTACCTTAAAAAGACGGTATTCATTTTCAACACACACAACAACTGAATTCTGTGCTGTAGCATTCTATGATTCTATAATTTATCAGAATGTGTCTCAGTGTCAGATGGTAGGAGAAGGGAAGGCCATTCATCCCAACAAGCTCATTCTGTCACTTTATTGGATGATGCTAGATCTTTTAATGCCCTTTACTTGACAGCTATAAAAACTTAAACTTTGCCTACAAGCAAAACAGCCCCGTTCATCATTCAAATAAACCTCGTCTCAGCAGGCATGTGGCCATTTAAATATATAAATGGCTGCATCACAGCACAGAGCTGTTGTTTCTTAGCCCCCTTAATCATGGGCTTCCTTCTGCAGCACTGACAAAGCTGTCAGAGTATCTCGCAGTGCCTCTGCAGCTCCCTGGCAAGTCATCTCTGAGAGAAGAAGGAACGAAGAGTTACAGCTCGTTCATAACCCTTAATCTGCTAGCAATATACAGCAATAGCTGGCAGCTTTCGTGCTCATAATACCCTAATGTACAAGTGGTAAAGGTTATTGAGAGTGCGCACAATGATACCAAACTCAGACCTCCATTTACCAGGGATATTTACAAACTCTTTATAACCATTTTATTGGGATTCTACTATTAAAGTCTCGATTGCACACTGAGAACCAGCCCTTATCTTTACAGTCTGCTGGGAGGCTAAGATTTTAAAGTCTGAACAGGATAATCATTATCGATTGACACAGGCCAGTCAGGTAAGCTTTCAATGATGGTGATGACCCACACTTTTTGTCAAGGACTCCAGTCTAGATGCAAAGCTGACCGTGACTTTTCTGTTCATGAAATTTTTCACTTCAGGATACTTGGAGAGTTTGTTCACTATTGTGGAGTAGAAATAATCTATCTCACAACAACAACAACAATAACGACAAAATTACATTTATAGAGCACCTTTCACATCGGGAGGATGTCCCAGGTATATGAACTGGGAAAGATCTGTGACTGTAATGAATTTTTAACAACATATAATATTAATATTTATTTGAGATGTCTCAACAATGTAATAATGCGTTATATCAAATGCAAGGATTATTATTATTTGAAATATAAATGTAGTCATTTATTTCATGGCTGTTTGTAGGACAAATCGTTTGCCTACAGATACAGTCACTGCACTTCACAGTAAAATCCTACAAAGTCTTGACTGTGTGACGAGTTGCTATATCAAATGCAAGGATTATTATTATTATATATCTGCAGCGATTGGAGACAATAGAGAGAAGAGTGACATGACTGATCCCGAGAAGAGGTGTTAGTTCCAAGGAAAAACTAATGTTTAAGCATGAGATAAGTAAAGGAGAGGAAGAATTTAGTCTACTGTATGTTGTATTGCTCTCTTTAAATGGATCTGAGGTTTTCTGGCAGGAATCCAGGGCTTCCCTTGGTAAAGTAGAGTGAAATACACAGACATGAAGAGGAGGAACTTTGAAGCAGACTGGGAGGGAGAGAGAGAAGAGTTTGATGAGGTGGCTCATGTGGAAAGAAAAACATCAGTGCAGACTTAATAGACCAAATGGCCTGTTACTGTGTGGTAATGGTTTATGAATCCCATTAATGCTGCTTATTCTAAATTTAATCCAGAGAAGAGACCTCTGTAAGCCTCAAGGAAAACACAATATATACAATTTATACAGCACCTTTCACGTCAGGAGGATGTCTCAAAGCACTTTATATAGAGTCTGGGCATTTGAGCCGAGGGATGGGAGCTGGAGGAGATGGAGAGGGGGAAAGAGGTAAGTCTTGATTTGGACTTTAAGAATGGGGAGGGAGGAAGGGAGCGAGGGTAAATAATCCTCTTTACTGTGGCAGGAATGTAGACCTCTAGGTTGCACCTCAGGGAGACCCTAACCCCAGGTTCAGACTTCACCAGTGTTAGACTTCCCACAAATACCAGGGAGGAACAGATGGATTGAAGTCATACCAGTGTTACAACACTTAAAACAATCGTTTCTTGAAACAGCCTTGAGAGCAGCAACAGGAAAAAAATCAATTCAAGGGAATGGGCAACATGCTCTTATAGACTCTTATTGATATTTCTTACACCATGTTGTCTTTATTGAATGTGGGTTCACCCGATGATTGAATCAGTTGATCCATGATAAACTGAGGAGGCTGAATGTCCGGAATTAATGTCATAGTCACTTTAACCAGTTCAGACAAAGTTAAAATGCTTTATATAAAAGGTTAACAGGAAATCATTGACCAGGTTTCTACAGAAAACATCAACGTGCATTTTGGTTGTGATAACTAATGGTTGACGACCACATTCAATTCTTGGGAGAAGTAAGTAAATTTGTTTCGTTTCTCAGCTGTTTTAAACTGCTTTTAGTTTGCAGTATTTAGCAACCGAGCATTTTAGGGTTGTCATGTGGCTGTATATGAAACACTAAACAATAGGATGCTGTGTGCAATGTGACTGAAATCCAGTGAGCGCTGGAAATTTTGAAACACGCCAATGATTTTTTTTCACATGCCAAATGCATTCTCATTGGCCTCAAATGTCAGTGTGTCTCAGCTGCTATAAAGGTTAAATAGTGCATTAATTTTCTAATTGCCTTTGAATTGTCAGTTCAGTGAGCTTTAGCTCATCGCATTCTTGCTGACTGGAATTAAGAGCTGAAATAAATAATGCCTGGCCACAGCTTCTCTGAAATATCCGCTTCTTAAGGAAAGCCCTTAAATTATGCAATGTGCATTTATTTAAATTAGCTAATTAAAATTGTATTTCCACTTTAATTGAAATAATTTTTTCGCCCATTAGTTGGCAGATATGAAAATAAAGGTTTTTTAACATAATTGAAGAAAAATAACAATCACCAAAAGATATTTCTGGTCATACACACTCCATAGACAACACAGAGGTGTGTTACTAGGAGAGTCCACAGACCATGTCTCAATACAGAGTTGTGTCAGAATACTCAGAGTATTATCGCATGCTTTGAAATGCGTAGTTCAAAGGTGAGTTTAGCAGTGGTCGTCACGTGGCTAGCCCTTGTGCAACAAAGGAATATTACAATTCAGAAGAGGGATAACTAGCAAATTGTGAAAGTTTTTGGTGGCTAAGATATTGATGATAAAAAACATAAAAGGGAAAAAGGGTTACATATTACAGCTTGTCAATTTTACCATAGTTGATGAAATATATTCTTGTTAATAATCATGGGTTTAGGAAAGGGCAGCAAAATATAAGGGTATCTTCAATGAGACTATAACAACATATACAGAATTACAGGCAATATTACAGCAAGCAGGCAGTTCAGCACAACTGGTCCATCAGTGTTTGTAATTGACACAAGCCTCCTCTCCTCCTATCCAACCTCTTGTTTTAACCCTCTATTCCCATTTTCCTCATTTACAGTTTCCTGTTAAATATGAGACAGAAGATATCAGTTTATTGGGGGGGGGGGTTTATTGGATCACACAGAAGCCAGAGCTCAATGTGAAGCGAAGAGATTGGGAGCAATACACTCGTGCAGTTGTATTTAAATGTGTATTTTTCATTCCAGTTTCAATTAAAGTTTTAATTTTAAAATAAAAAATAATCCTTGCATCTTATTACGCGTTCAAATGTGTCAAAGTAACATACCACAATAAAAGTAATGCAATAAAAAAAAATGCTTGCATTTGATACGGCGCCTTTCATTCGGGAGGATGTCTCAAAGCGCTTCATAGGGCTTACTGTAAAGTGTAGTGATTGTTTATTTGTGCAACCAATTTGCACACAGCAGTGTCCCACAAAAGCCATGAAGTGAATGACCAGTTCTATTTGGGGGATTGTTGGCCAGGACATTGGGTGAAACGTTTACAAATTGAGCCTTCTTATCCTAGGTATTGATCTTGTAGGTAGGGATATGGAGCAAGTATTATTCCATCACAATTACCTTTATTATTCTTTACTTTCCTAATGTTAGTGTCTACCGAGCCAGACACCATGTGCCATCATTAAGAAACATCAGCGGAAGCTCACTGTACCCATTGTTATTTATCCCACGTAAACCCATCAAGAATTTCTTATTAAATGTAAATTCGCAAATCAGATTATTTGCACAGTGCAATAGCGCACCCTCGTGGTGATAATTTACTTTGTTATTCAGTGCTGAAACCGAATGTAGACCAGGTCTGCTCACAGCGTTATAATAAAAGCTTACTCTCTGCACCATCTTTAATTAAATCTAATATGAATAATACCAGATCACTGGGCGTATGTAACACCGGGTGAAGTATGCAGTTATTCAGCATGTTGTGAGCTAGCAACGTTTCAATAGTTTAACCTTTAGACAACTGCAGGTTTTTCTCTATCACCAGTTTTATACATTTTCAACACATACTGTAACACTCATAATCACACCAATCACTGTGATAATGACCATATACATACAGAACTCAAAGTACAATTAATTAATTTAAATAAAAAGTAAATATTAATTTTGTTGGCTCAACCATCATTTTTTCAATCTTTTTGCTCCATTCGTGTGTGTTGACGTACTGCTAGAGTTAAACCACCTAATACCACATAGCTTGCTATTGAGAGCATACCTGGCAACCCTCCTGCTGCTTGTCCAACTGGGACCACCCTACCTGGTCGGACTTTGGATTAACTGTAATCTTGTTGTTGTTGTTGCAGGGTTAAAAGGAGCCCAGGCTGGTGTCACCAATAGTGTGTTGGGACTCGCCTGGCTCAGAAAGCAGTCAACCGGGACCACCGCAGATGATTAACTTGATTCTGATAGTCCATTGATACCTTTGAGCCAGCTCAACCTAAGGAGACCCTGCTTATCTCCCCGCCCCCTCAAGAAGGATGGGCACAAGTTGGTAATCAGGCACCGGACAAGACTAGGTATGATGCTATGCCAGGTTACCGCCCTCCCTAACATTACAAGGCTGGGTGTGAAACTCAGTAATGTGGTATTAACAGGGCCCAGTGATGAATAACGTGGTATTAACAGGGCACAGAGATGGGTGGGGCTTGTTTTTTCCTGGTCACAAGCAAACATTATTGAATGATTAAATCCTTGAGAAGGTTTCTCAGCGGGACTCTGCTTGTTTGCTAACTTTCTAATTTAGTGCAGATGTCGAGAAAACAAAGAGAGATGGAGTTAATTGGATGCCTGCAATTTAAGAATATGTTTGTATAGTTTAATGGGATACTTAACCTCAAGATTTTCTCGGTCAAGTTGCCTGCAGTTGTGATAAAGGGTTATTGTGTTTGCTGTCGCACGATTCAAAGTTACTGTGATGTTTGTTTGGGCAGTTGGGTGTCGGACACATGAGGAAACCCATCACTATGCTTAAAGTATCCAAACTAGACCATGGAGGGAATGCTCCGCTGCTTACCTAATTCCGGAGTGTATTAGGCTCACACTGGCAAGA